TAATTATTAATGATCTTACACAATAATTACATAACATCTGTTAACTAAAAATTCATGTCTTACATCTAGGTTAAATAGAAAAAATCCATAGCCGACCATATTTATTACTATTTTGTATTTTTTTCTTCTACAGATTTTTAGTTGGTATCAATTTCAATTTTACATAATTTTTCAGTATGTTTCAGTCTTTTAAGAATACTACTTTTTCCTCTGCTCACTCTCCTATCCCTTCGTCTCCCCTCAAAAAAAACAGAGTTGTATTTTTGAAAAATCACAAAAACATTTTAATCTTGTATTTGACATTTCACTATTTTGGATAGAATATTTTCACTTTTTTTGATAGATTAATATACTTAATTTTTCTAGGATGATGTTTAGTTCAAAGAATCCGGTAACTTCCTTACTTTTATATTCCATTACGGTCAGTAGAAATCATCCCCCATCTTTGTTAATGCTATTTGTAACAAACTTTCAAATTGAATTTTTATCTAATTTCATCAAGATTACTATTTAGGGTGAATTTTCTTTTTTTTGATGATAGGTTTTATCATGGCAGCTATTAGCTAGTAAAACCGTTAAAGAAATTAAATCCCACTGTATGCACAACTGTACTCAACAGTGCACGCCAAAACACCAATATGAAGTTGAATCCAGAATCATTGAGTATACTGCTGGCGATTAGGTTATAACTCCGACGTTTAGTCAATTCACGACATAACATGACTATTGTTCAGCAGTATCAGTAATAAGTGTTGCTTATCTCTTCATCTTGTCTGTCAGTTATGATACTTTGTTTTGAAAAAAAGTTCATTGAGTCCCTTAGTTGCCTTATATGCCAATAATGCAGGCAGTGAATATATTTCAATATAAAATAACATCCCTTAAATCCATTCATATTTGATATTTATCTTATTAATTGTCGTAATTGATCAAAATGGTATGAAGACGTTGACATATTAGTATTCGTTATCTAAGTGTTAATTATAAAGTATGGTATTTAATGTAGTATGCATTTTACTTGTTTACTTTTGTTTTTAAACTGATGTCAAAGATTACGGATGACGGCTTGAGGTTATTTCTTTACAAAGTAACTACAATAGAAAAGTTGATAGATTATTAATGTGGATAAATTGGCTTTTATGATTTACTTCCATGAATCTCATCAATAGTTTGGTTACCATCAATTACCTTATTACTTGTTCATTCATTTTTTTCTAATATTTCATTACTTGGAACTCTGTCACAAATGTAATCATGACGTAAACACAATCTTACTACTTACTTACTTACAATCTTACTAAGTAAATGCTTATTTCTTAATCCAACAACTCTTTCAACTACTGAATGCGCCTATGTTACTTACTTAATAAAAAAGCATATAAAATATATCAGGTAGATGGACACATTTGTATATTAAAATCTATGAATAAATAAGCTTTATAATTGTTTGTATACAGTGAACTCCATCTTTCAAAGACTGAAAGTAATGTTTAGACTGAAAATTTGTGTTATAGTTTACATCATGAAGTAATATTAGCCAGATAACCATTGAAAATCAAGAAGCATTGGGCAGCTATTTTATTCTAGTACGGAACTCTTTAGGAGTGAACATCCACAACCTTACGAGGGATCGAACCTACGACATTAAGATCTTTCAGCAAGCTGCTAATCTCTAGGCTACTAATTTGGCGTTGAATGCCCACTATTGAGTCCCATACTAGATTAAAGTAGCTGTCATATGCTTCCTCTTTTTCAATATTTTTATATTTAGGATCAGTTCGTGAATTAAACTATAATATTTAACCATCTGTGAAGTACCCTTACAGTAATGAAAAACAATATATATATATATATATATATATATATATATATATATATATATATATATATATATATATATATATATATATATATATATATAACAATCTAGTAACGTAATAGTTATACAATAAGAATATGTATATGATAATAGTCCATAAATTAGTCCTGAAAGTTACCATTCATTTAGTCTTCAGTATTATATAATATGTATAATCTGTTACATAATTTAAAATAATAATTGTTTTTCTTTTTTTTAATTAACATTATTTGTAACTTGTTTAAAAACTAGTTAATGTTCTATCTTTTAACTTAAAATAATACATCACATTAACTTTCTATTAGTTTGTTAGCAACTGTTTAAAACATACACTTTGAAAGACTAAAAATGTTAAATATCATGCTGAGCAATCTTTTTATTTTTCATATGTATACCAACATTTAAATATAAAAATGTTTCATAATATATACTTATTATGTTTTACTAGTGAGAAATGTACTAACATTCTTTTGTGTTGGTTGTTGATACATGTGATTACTTAGTTCTACAGTTTCTGTAATGAATTTTTATTTTATTTCTAGTTTTACATTGATTTTTCTTTAAATTATACATCCAACAGAGTGTATAATTAATTTCAAAATTCATGTCTGACTACTTAACTACACTGATTTTTTATAAAATGTAGTATGTATGTATTGGCTTAGTCAACAGTAAAATGCTAGGAGCTCATATGTATATCTGTATAACAACTTCCTGGATTATTTTTTGGTGTAGCTACAGCATAAATTTCAATATTTTTGAGCTTTTATTTATAAAACATTTTCATCCTGTTAATGGTTTATTTTGTTTGAAAATAATTAGCAATACGTGAGTGGACTGTGACTAATCATTGGATTCTGAACATGCTTTTCATTTCATTTACGAAATGACATGTTTTGCAACAATTGATTATACTGACAAGGTTTAATTATAAGTATCAAGGGATTTGTGTAGATCGTAGAATTTCCGTAGCTTTGATCATGAAATGATCTTAGTCGGATTGCCGTCAAAAATCTTAAAGTAGTGAACGGGTGCTTTCCTCTGGTGTATGACTACTCAACAGTGTGCATCAACGAGTTCGTATTAGTAAACTAGACTCAGGAAATTCGATCTCGATTGCGAATGCTTAACCTTTGAGTTGCTGAGCAGGTACCTAGTAATGTATGTCTTTAACTTCAATTAATTCACGATATCGCTCAACCCTACAATAACTCAATAACTTAATTTAAAAGCTTTGTGATCTGTTAAAACAGTTGACGACAGATTACAGTCCCGGTAAGGATAACACAATTTTACAATGACTGTAGAAAGAGAACATATTCTGAGTTTTATTGTTGTATTTTACTTTTAAAAAATAATACATTGCATACAGTTGTATTTTTTTAATTAAAATCTTAGAGAAATTGGCGTTTTTCATTTACTGTGGGTCTTAGCCATGTCGATAGATGCAAACTACCTGATTAAGGTCAGGGAAATAACCACCGTTAATAGTTAGAAGAGTTGAATTGTAAAATGGGTTAGAATCGGTCACAGTGGAACAGGTGTATTCACTCTTTATTTTCATATAAACCATTTCATTTCTTGTTGTCGAATCATATTTTCAACTTGTCTTTCTCGTTGTCATTATTGTTACATTATTCCGATTCCTTTGCTATTCACCCGATTAATTTCATATCGTATTGTTTTAACAAGTAGTATAACAGCTTAAACCAATGCATATTTGTGCCAGGTCCTACAGTGAATACGATCGACTGACTAAATAATTTATTTCATATTCTTCTATGTATTCAATATTATGAGAACAAATTATTCGAGAGAAAAAATTAATAATAGTATTAGTAGTAGACTATCATTTTGCTTCTTTTTGCTTCTCATTTGAACTGATTTTAAGATATAAAGATATTAGAAATAGAAATATGATAAATAAATATGTTTTCGAATTGTTTTTCTTGACAATCTTTCTTCTCTTTTGCTTTTTTAGCTTGTTTTTTTCGATCATTACCCTTTTTCTTATAAAAGTTAGTAAAACAAACAAAGATTATCACGATATGATTTATCATACTTATAAGTATTCCTAGAATATATATACATATATTACACAAGATTCAATAAAATACTTCTATTCAATACTATCAATAATTCTTGTTGAGATGAACGAGTAAAAATAATTTCAGCAAAGAGGCTAGTTTAAGATAACTGACCACCGATTCGCTTTCCTTTAGTCATTGTTGAAATATGTCAACGATATCACAGATGTCAATAAATCTATGTACAATATGCATAAAATGTATTTAATATAATGTGTTTACCTGGTTTTATTCATTTGTTATTTATCATACTTCAATACTTTGTTGAAAACTTGCTGCTTAATCTTTTAATAGAGCATAACAATCACACATTTATTTCAAGTTGTAAATTAAAGGCACTCAGTTGAAAATTATCAGTCTAAATGTGGCTTTAATCAACACTTATCAATAAGGATGGTAGCTATAATCTTAAGGGAACTGGTGCTTAAGATTCATAAATATGGATAGCAACCATTATCATCTTGTCAATCTTTTATTTATAATATAAATCTAAAAGGAAAGTTGCTAACATACCAATAAACCAAGTCACTAAGCATTGTTATACAATTCATATGATGAGATCTGAAACCAAATTTCAAGTCACTGAAATAGCTACAATTAGACATATACTAACGATTAGACAATATGATGTTGATTACCCTTCAATAGCTGATTAATACGTATAACTTTACTTTAGAAGTGATTTAAGTTCTTTTCTATATATGGTAACATGCATGTGCACTTAACTTAAAGAGTAATTGCTGTGAGGTTATATAATTCACTGATATAATAAAGTACAACGCTGAACTGATTTGATTGAGAAAAAACACCATAATTTGCAGTAAAATTAGACTTTGGAGTGTTTCGGATACTTGGTCTCACGTTTCTGACCTGTTGTCATTCTTTCAATTTGGGGTTCAGTTTAAAATGCAACCTGATTAGTAGTAGGGCTTTACTAATCATTCTCCTTGTCTCGAATCTTCATAATCTTCAACTCTGAAGATCGTTATTTATAACTAATAATCTTAACTAAAATTTACTTTAAAATATTTGTTTCGTACCTATTTTAAATATAGGATTCTTCTGAAATCCTTAAACATTTCTGGTTTGGAAGTAGATGAAGCTTTGCGATTGGTTGTTCATCGATATGGGATGCCCGTAAGTTGATTATTGGCAGAAAATTAAATTCGAATTTTAATTTTTTTTAGTATTTCATTAAATACCAATTAAATGTATTTTATGATAAAAATTGTTCTAAAATAACCCTCCCAGATAATATTATTACTCTCAATTGACTAAAGAAAAATTCTTCAAATATTATTTGAAGAAGACGCTAGAATTCTTCAGTTTGGCTAACGGTCATTTCTTTGTTCGGTGTAATTTTAACTAAGGGACGAATGTAAAAAGTTAAAAGCCTTATGACTGATAGGATTTAATAAAATATAAACGTTTTTACTGTTTCATAAAATTTCATGCCGAATATTCTCGATTTATGTCCTAAATTGATCATACTTATTTCAAGACTAAATAATTTTGTAAAAGTAGACGGTGATTTGGTTAGCTTTTGTGTCGACATCTAAACTTTAATTCAACTCACTTACAAAACATGACTATTATTTATTTGATTTTTCAACCGAGTTTATTTCACTTAAATTTGATGAAACCTGAAGTCTTATTAACACGTGAAAATTTGCTTCAAGCTTAAACATTACTTTCAAAGTGTCTAAGCTGTAGGTTATGATAAACTATTGATTGTGAAATCCTGCAGAAAATTTGCTACTAAGTTTGTAGAAGTCAACGTAATGTAGGCGGTGATGATGTCTTGAAAGACAATGATAGTTTGACAATTAAATCATCTAGCTCGAAAAACTCAACAACATCAAAAATTCATGATCGTATTTTCTTATGTGTAATAGTAATTTATTATCTTGAATGAGTGATAACCTTCAATTTCTCTCAATGTCTGAGATTATTTTTGTATTCCTTTAAGTGACAGCGAACAGTTACTTGATATTTCCAGTTCTGCTGGATTAGGATGTGTTAGGCCCTGATAAGTATGACGAGTGGTAACCTTGGGATTTATTTGTGGACCAATACTCAACGTATATTTTTATCGTATTATTGTTAATTAACTAAACTATTCAGATTCATGTCCCTCTTATTATGAGCTTTATTTTGATCTATGAACTATTATTGTACGATCTACCATTCTTGTATTATGCCCTGTCTAGTAATCGCTACCTTCCTCATTCACAGTCACATTTGGCTAATTCTTGTACAAATGTTGTTTCATATATTATGGTACAATGTGGTCTTTCTGGTTGGTATATAAACCAGTATGCTTGAAATAAATGATTCATATTGCAGAAGCTGATATTGGTGTTCTGGACTTAACTGGCTGGGCTAGATGGAAAGCAGGACCAATCAGGACTCTAGACTGTTCGTACGGGTTTTACGCGTCATTGATCCAATTGATGATTCACTGCTCTCTAATTGTCGGTATCATTACTTATTTATTAACAGGGCACACAGTTCACAAATATAACAGGATGATATTATAAAGAACTAACAGTATAGGGTTGCGGACATTTTGTTTGAGATCATGAACCGATTGATGTTAGACGACCATTGAAAACCTGAAAGCACTGTATGGCTGTTTCGTCCTACTATGGGACTCCTCAACAGTGCATTCATTGGCGAGTAGATTATTAATAAAAATCCTTTTTCTATAAGTTTAATTGTAGAGCGCTAAATCATCAATCAAATCAGTCATTAATTTATATCTCACCAACTTATTCAACGTCCATGTATTATATTTTACAAAATCTATTTATTTCTCTCATTCTAAATAATGACATAGATCACCCAATAAGCTTTTCATTTTCAGAATTTCTTCATTAAATAAATTTACTGTATTATATATGTAAAAGAGTTAATCTCTTTTTCCTCTTGACCTAATTTCCAATCTATTTCATCTACTTACAAGTAATCTTCTAATTCTTTACATCAGTTTTGCTATATACCAAATGAATATTAAAAAAAAAGAATAATTCATTCATCACGTTATTATTTCGAGGAAGAACTATATAACCTGAAAAAATTCCTCCTACTATCAATATGTACATAGTTTTTTTTGTTATTATTTAGTTCTCGCTCATTTTACTGTTAGAAATCAATCGATTTTTCCTCGGTTTATAACTCAGTATTGTATATGAAAAGATTAAATTGATGATTCATATTCCATCCCGACCCCATTCTCAACTTTTTAATGAAGATGCAAATTTGTATCTGTGTGTTTGTGTGTGTGTAGAAGCAGCTATATTGACCATGCAGTAAACTTGTTAAATTTAACGAATAAACTGTCTTGTTTTATTAAACTCATGATTGTTTACGTTTGATCCATCAGATTTTGCTCAATAGTTATCATATTGTTTATGATATGATTGTGTGTGAATTGAATTTATTCAAACGGTAAACAAGAAAATGATTATCTCTAACCTTGTATTGGTTTTATCAATAACATTTCCTCTTTGTATAATAAATATGAGGTGATAAATCGCTAGCTAGCTAACCAATAGATTTGATTAGAAGTGTGAACCGATCTAAGTTTGATCACCATTAAAAACCTGGATGCACTGAACGGCCGTTTCTCTCGAGTCGGCACCCACAACCTCTCACACTGGAGTCGAACCCAGGACATTTGGTCTCGCGTACGAATGCTTAACTTCTGAACCCCTAAGTTGGCATCCAGCGGTGTTAAGGTCTAATCTCAATCAGTCTATGACAGCGCGACCATTTTCCATTGTCTTTGGTAGGTTTTTTCCTCACACCTGAAATAGACTAGTTCCACTGGTCAGTGCTTGTTTGGTCGTGGACGCTCACTGATGATGAGTTTTAATGGTGATCAAATTTAGACTGGTTCATAATTCCAATGAACTTGAACAATCTCACAACTCATTGCAATAATAAATTCCAGTTCATTCAGATAGCAGTAAATAGTGTCAAAATAAAAGAACTGAGGACATAGTTTGTATTTAATTGATTTTTTTATTGTTTTTCAAGTATAACCGAGGCGAGGGTGAGCAATAGGCCAGCGAAAAGTTAGGAAAAATTAAAACTGATGTTTCTTACTACTTTCTGGACTTTTTCCTGGCTAACGTTTTCTTATCAAGGGCTTTTCCACGAGATGCAGTTACTAACCCTATGCCCAACCCTGATCCTTTATCACGACATGGGAACGACACTAAGTCTAGAAATATATTGAAGGATTATTCTGTCTAATGATAAAATTAAAGTAGAAATATTTAGAAGTAAAACCAAATCATACATTAGTGCTTATGAGCAATTCTATTTATAATTTACCGATATACCAAGAAAGTATATGATTTTTATTGTTACATTATTCATAAACTAATAGCTACAACCAACTTCACTTCGAGCCCTTCCAGGATTACTGCCGGCCCCATGCCTGGATAAATAATAATGGTTAGACATAGGGTTCGCAACCCCATCCCATAAAATAAAGCTTTTCTAAAAAACGATAACCAGAAAAGTTACAACCATCAAATAATATATACATTCAAGCATCACTAGTATTTACTGGCCTAAATTCACACGAAAGATAAATGAATAATGTCGGTAGTAATCTGCTTGGATGAATGGTTCTATATATATATATATATATATATATATATATATATATATATATATATATATATAACTCTACAAACTATCGATGTAAATATATATTATCAAAATATAGCTAGCGTCATTAAATTAATCTGAATACAAATTTCATCATGATAATGAACCAAGATTGTGGAACTTGGCATTAATAGTTACGCAATTACGTTTGTGGACAATTAATGATATTTAAAAAGTTTTAGTCTTCATTATCTATAATATACAATAATTTGTAATTATATTATCTTAGTAAATGATAGTTACTGAATATGTTTACTCTCTCCTACATCGAAATTTCTTTTAGTCCCTTTTTTCTAATATTCCTTTATTTTGGTTTTTCTTAAAAAGTAATTATAATAATTTTAAATTTTTCTTTTGATCATTTATAATTTCTACAGTATCGTTATTTGTTTAATTATTCACAAAAACTACAACTAAATATTAAATAATTAAACCAGTATGAAATTTTTAAGAGAAAAGTTTGACTAAAATCTATTTATCACATCCAAAGGGTGCTTTTTTTATAGGTTTATTTCTTTTATTTATAAATTAGAAGTCTGAAACTACAATGTATTTAACTGTGTCAGGTAGTTTAAGATAATTGTCGGAACTTGTTAATATGCTCTACCTGAAATCTTCTGGTAACTCATACTCTCAGTGAGATTCAAACCCTCGTGATATACCACATAGCATCTAAACATTGTGATTACATAGCTTCATTGACAGGATTTGGTTACCATTAAAGGATTAGACAAGCTTGACATTGATCACTACACAATAATCAACCAATTGTAAAGTTAATTATCTAACTGTGACTGACTCTCAAGAATTTTCTCTATTGAAAGTCATTACATTATGATTGTGTTGACCAATTATGTATACAATTACTGTCAAGAAAAAACTTTTGCTCTCATTCTTCATATTAAAAAGGATCTTAATCGTATATTTTAATAATTATAAAACTTTCGAAATACTGCAATCCTCACAAACGCCAATACTGATAACAATCATGTGTTCATCAATGACTAGCTTCAAGATGTAACTGCTGGAGTTCAAGCGAGAAGCCCTGACCAGTGGAGTATTATCTGTTTCATCTGTGAGACAGTTACCCACCTCAGACAATGGATGACCGGTTGCGCAAGATCATGAACTGATTAAATTTAGGCACTAACTTCGTTAGATGCTATGTCAGTGATCTAGAGGCTAAGCGTTCACGCGCGAGAACTAGGGTCCTCAGTTCAAGTCCCTCGCTCGAGACCGTGGACGCGCAATGCTGAAGTCACATACTAGGACGAAACAGACGGCCAGTGCATCCAGACTTTCAATGGTAGCCTAGCTTATATAAACTTGTGGTTTCAACTGTAAAAATATATACTTGTTGAATCAGACTATTTGTTACTCTTCACTTGTATTGTTAAAGAAACTGAATTATTAGCTGGTCCGAAATGTATTTAATGTTTAAATGCATCATGTTTTGTTAGTCAAAAACCCGAAGTTTTCATCCATTTCTTTCAACTTCAAGTACTTATTAATTCATTACTCTCTCTCTCTCTCTCGCTATATATATATATATATATATATATATATATATATATATATATCCCATTGGTTTAATCATTTGAAGTAAACAGTTAAATATGCAATGTAGCAACATTGTTGGCTTATTACACGAACATTCTGCTCGTTGCTTTTTTACATTTGAATACCCTAATTCGTAATCATCAAAACAATAAATGTTCAACACATTTTTTGTCAACTATTTAGTTTCAAATTAGTCGTATTTTGTATTATTTAAAGAACATTACCATTCATACAATTACAATAGAAAATATTTGCAGATCTTGTAATGTAACATCCTTGTTTGTTTTAATTCTCGCATAACTTGAGTTTTCTCATATAAAACATCAATAAAAATATGAAACCAAAATAATTCATTGTCTTCTTTTACCAATCTTGTATAGGTGGAATCTCAAGAAATAGACAGATTATTACAGTGTATCACTGAATATTATCATGCAGTTCGATGGCGTTCAACATCTGTTAATTCATCAGATATCTTTTCCAGTACTAATGATCATCAATTGAAGTCTTCACCAGCTCCTATCACTCTGGATCAATTATCATTAATATTTTACGCTATTCTCTTACTACAAACCAGTCTTCATAATGTAAATGCAGCAAAATCAAGTTTAGGCAAACAGAATGTCAGTCAATTTATAAAAAATGTATATGGTAAGTATAATTTATTTGTAAATTTATGTATCGTTGCGATAAACTGTCAGTTATTATTATCCTCTAACAGTCTTTCATGATTGTTATTCAAATGATTTTTATGACTTTAACGTCTTTCTTTTATTCTCCTGATCTATTAGGTGAATAATTACCTCGCACATTTCTAACCCATCAACTTTTTCCATACCCCTACTCTTCATGAACTTTTCCATCATTACGCAACCTTATTTTGATAATATCAAATCTCGGGTCACTTTATGACGCAATCTCTTTTTATTCTTTTTTAGACTCACATATTTACCAAACAAATCTCAATACGAACGTACAGCATAAGTAAATGAGTTCACCGAAAAGAAAGTGTTCTTACGTTAGATTCTCTCCGCCGAACCTCTGAGTGTACTCAGACATAAATTTACGTCAGCTAAATTTGTCGTTCTATGTTAGCGCAACAAGATGAAATTAAACAGATGAATCGTGGTAGACGTTGTCGTGAGAAATGCTTAACTTTGAGAATATGTTTTGAGAAAAAAGGACTATGCTAACTCCGTAGTTTCAAAGTCAAGTGCTCTCCGTGAGACTTGAAGGTTTAAATACCAGTATTGTTTTAGACACATATTTCTAAGAAGTCCTATACCAGAATGAACCATCCGTCGAAAACTTTCTAGTTTTCAACAGATACATGATTGAGTCGATCCATGGTGTAAAACTAAAAAAAGTTGATCGCCTCGAAAACATGCATATAAAAAACATAATTATATCAGTATTTTCACACAAAATGAAATTTATTTCATTCCACTGGCTTGTCATCGGTTATTTCCAAACTTAAGCATAATAATAATAATTGTATAAATCCTATTGTAAGTTTTATCAATTGATTCAGGAGCTGAACCCTATTCTACACGCCCTATTTCATAGTTCTAACCAGTTTAGGGAAAAATGAATATGTATTACATCTAGCAAACTTCCTCATTTTTTTATTTGCATCTGAAACAAATCACCTACAAATTTATTGTAAGAATAATGAGCTTTCTAAAACGTTTTATAGCGTTTATTGTATGGAAAAATTTATAACCATCATTTTTTATATGGGAAGTAATTAATTTTAGCAAGAAACGTAAAAAATATATTGGCAATTAAGTTTATTGTTCAAGCTTAATGTTTTCTGTTCATTATTATTATTATTATTATATTTTAGCATTAAATTGTATTTAGCTAATTTATTTCTTTTTAAATCAATAGCTAATCGGTATTTACTTAATAATGGACAAGCAATTATCATAATAAGATATATTGAGATTTATTTAAAGACATAGCTTATAGTCGCCAAATTATTCTTTTTTATCATGATTGTAAACGGAACTAATCACCAGGATCATTTATTTACTTAACTAATGTTATTGATTTGTATTCTAGAAGTTTGTTAAAAAGGAAACTTTGAGCCTAGATTTCTTAATAATTGCCACTTGTCAACTAGAGGTATCTGTCATCTGTAAGGTAACTGATACTTCTTGTTTTATTTAAAACTACGTTACACATTTTTACTGTTTGAGACGTTACCATTGAGTTATTCAGACAGTGATTGACCTCCTGTATAATCTAATTTGGTTACTAAGTAGTAAGTGATGTTATGTTTGTCTAGTCTTCAACCTAATGTTTATGATAGCGATAAACTTATTATGTGCATCTAATTGTCATATCGTTCTATTCAAACAGAGTATGAATACTACTTAATTATTATAACAATGCATGAAAGAAAGTCTATCTAACTTTCCTAAAAGATAAATTTGATAAATATATCACTGGTCAGCACATATAACTCAGTATTGCTGAGAAATGACATTTGTAAGTTATCTCGACTGTTAGCGGCGACATTTTCACTACCCAGTAACTTTGTTGTGTCTAGGAATTTCATCCATTTTTTGCTCTTTTTAGTGAGTAAAGACTGAAAATTAGAGTATTTTTATTCAAGATTTCAATTCAAACCCTAACAGTTGATTATGTTTATATTTTTCATCCAGCGTGCTAATCAAGTTTACACATTTATTCATAGCTCACGGTCGCGAATGACTCAAGATGCTTAAAGTGAAATTTTTAGTTAAATGTGCACTTCAGTATGCAGCAGTCACTGGTTAAAAAAACTACAAATAGCCAAAACTTTTGGATGTAACGCACCTATTGAACACTGTAAACGTTTCAGATAACGTCAGTCGTTGGTTTTATCTGTGTATAGTGATAATTTAAGTGATCTGTGTCGATGGTCGGTGCACTTGAGTTAAATGAAAATGATGTGACTTCCTAGCTTATGTCGATGTCAGATTTCTAGGTTAATACCTAGCCTGAGTTACTCTGTCGTTGTAACAGTTACTGTAACTACTCTGGTGATTGAATAAAACAAACACAACCTTATCAAAGAAATATATCATAGAAGACTAGAACCATCACCGCATTCACCAGTCCCTGATATGCGATTGATTAATCTGTACTAGTCATCTCTGGCCTTAAAGATATTCAGCAAGCTATTCAAGCTTCCGTGATCTATTGTCTAACGAAGGAACGATTCAGCTTGATTCATGATTTGTCTAGCGCTCAGTGACAGATCACTGGTCCTACAATAGAATTTATTTTTTTATACCCCATTTAAGATACAATATATTATTAGTTGTAATTTATTACACTACATTACACAGCTTTTATCTTAGTTAATTTAAAGTAATCATTAAAAATCCCTGTCCTACCTAAGTTTCTTGTTAGCTGGTCGTTTTCAGCATAACGTACCTGTGATCTTCAAGAACTTGTCGATCAAACCCCAGATTTCTTTACATATTACATATCAATATAACTTCCTTCCCATGTACAAAGATTACTTAAAAACATACAACATAAACTTTAAATAATTCCACTAACATTCTCTCTCGTCGTTAACTTTAAATTCACATCACCTAGATGCCTTAATTATTGCTCATTTGTTAACAATTTGTTTTTATTTCTTGTTTCTTTATTACCATCTATAGCTTCTGCCAACTCCTTGCACGATTTTATCTTCAACATATCAAAAGTACTAATCAATCTTAACTATGCAAAATATGTTATTTCTCCTTCTTATTTCCGTTGTTACCAACTGAAATTCATTAATTACATTATGTAATACTTAGTTTACAATAACATAATCAGTTGTAACTATAGGCCATTCCCATCTGATAAAAAGCCTTAAAATATAATGAATTTATGTTGTTCGATAAATTGTGTTCCCAATTTATTTAAATCTTTGATTTTCCTTGTTACCTTCAAAGTTCTTGTTTTTTTTCTGCTTTCTCCAGATCTTTTATTAAATCAACCACCTTCATCATCATCTTCACTATCTTCTTTCACGGCTAAATCAAAGTCAAAGATTGCAAATGTTAGTCAAAACGAGGTGGTTGATGAAAGTGGTAATATTATTACTGAATCCATTCTGGACAATGAAAATAATATTAATAATAACAAATCTCTTGATATAAAACATGTATTCTCAAATCGTACATTAACTGAAATATTTCATCGTATTAAAGTCAAACCATTGGAACCAGGTTCAGATCAAACAACAATCGTTCGACATATATCTAAAGCAATAAGAAATTTGCAAGATGTTAAAATTTTAAACACTGATGACATTGATAATGAATTCTTATTCACGAATAATCCATTTGAATTAGTGGAACCACATCGTCGATTGGTTTGTTATTGTACGGTAATTCATGTAAGTTACAATTTGTTTTGACTTTTTATTTATTATACAATTTAAGATAAATCAAAGTGTGTACGATAGTGAAGAATAACACATTTTATCATCCGTACAAACATACAGTACGTAAATCACTACTAGTACACTTCAGACTCATGCCAAATTTGTTTACTGGGAGAAACTCATCTTTCATTTCGGAAACAATAACAAAACAGTGTGTACACATGCTATAAAACTCTCTTTGAGCTTGACATACAACAATAGCGTCATGTATTGCTTCATTAGTGTTGACAGATTAGACAAACTGAAAGTCATAAAAAGGTCAGATTATAGAACAGATTAGCAATAGGAAAAGAACTAAGAAAGTTTCAACGATTTTATATCAAGTTTACTGTAGTAAATGCCAGAATTGCTTTTATGAAAAGCTGTATATTTTTAGTTGTTTTTTTAAAAAAAGCAAAGATGTCCCATTTGGTATCTACCTTCAGTGATACGATTTAAAAAAATAAATTACACTTTTAGTTGGCTTTAGCAAATCACAACCAATTATTAGATAATGAACTGTCTATACGATAGTGACAATTTTTTTAGCAAATTAAATCCAATTGTATAGATGACATAATCAATACGTTTAGTTGAAAATGATCCATCACTGGAGTATATTAAAAGTTAGACCTGGAACTGAAATTAAAACTAGTAGGTTTCCGAAAGTAACCCAAAGAGAATTTCTCTTTAAACTTTGAATTAAATTATATCAGAAATCCTTTCAAGTCTCATATTATTTTATCATCAGTCAGCTGTTGAAAGTTTTACAAATCAGTCACAACATAATATTATCTTTATGTATGCCTGTATATTAAATTGCTTTCCCATGTAATAAACAGTTTATTCAAATCAAGTATATTCATTCGTTTATTTTAATTCGATCAAATCCCAAAACCCATTAATTTAATAATGATTTCGTCGATAAGTTGTACTAGTCTGACAAATGTACATATTCTCTCTTTTATTTTTCTTTTTATTTCTATTATTATTATTGTTAATTTTTCATAAACATAATGAAATGTTTACTTAGTATTTAGTCATCTCTCATATAATTCAGTAAATATATTACATGAACTTTCATTAACATCAATTACGTTATCAACTATTTTCTCACATTAATTTTTTCCATTCATTTGTCTTGATTTTATCATTATTCTCATAATTTCAATTAATCTACTACGAATAATTGCAGGTATATACATATTTACATACTTTTAATCATTTACAAAACTATTATAGTGAAAATCATTGATACGTTAATGAAAAGCTAAATAGTGTGAAGAAATGTCCCCTTTACAATTGATTGATCACTGGGTGGTGATCAATATCATGAGTGTGTAGTGGTCGGTCGCGGCCTGGATAGCTCAGTGGTAACGTCTCTGAATGTGAAGCTGGGTGACACGGGATCGACTCCGTCAGGGAGCACCAGTTCCCTCAAGATTACAGGTACACCTAGCTGACGAGTGCCAAGTAGCACGAAACCCGGGTCCAGGGTTTCCTGTCGACTAACTCCAACCACCATCTGATGTCCCCTTCAGTTAGGTTATCCATTAAGGTTCTACACTAATATATACGTAATTAACAATGGTGATCTAACATTGAATGGCTTAAGATCTTAACTGAAACTCAACAATATTCACAACCTCTGTATTGAAAAATAAAATAACACTAATCGAATAGTGGAGTAACATAATGAGCTAAATAATTTCACAGTGTTTATAAAAATACTATCAAATGATTAATTGGATAACTGCAAGAAAAAAACTATCATTATCAAAGTAATTATTTGTAAAAATTGAAAAAAATATAAATTAAACAGTGAGAGAGATTAGGAAATGATTAGTATGGGGGGATTTGTAAAAATTTCAACTATGAAAATTAAAAAATTGTTTGAATATGTTTTTTTTAAAGAATACGGTTAGTCAATGTGTGTTCAGCTTGAACACACTGGCATATCAGTCGCCAAGACAGATAGGGTTGTTAGTTAAAATTCTTTTGATTGTAAATATTATGCTTGGGAATATCTATCCTGTTAGCTTCAGCAGTATGCAAGAGATAATGACTTAAAACATTTTGAATCTGATGAAATATAGTGAATAACTTCGGAAGCTTTATTCAAGTTAACGTGATGTGCGGCATCAGCCGATTGAAAGACATTAAAACTCTTAATCCCTCTTACCTGTTCTTCACATGACTGAGACGAATGGTGTTCTGCTACATGATGACAGACTTATCGAACGATACACCTCAAGTAACTGGCTCCACAAGAGCAGTTGAATTGATAGACATACATAAATGTGGCGAATTCAGGCATTTTATTTTTATTAGGGGTTTTCATAATCGGAAGACTGTAGGAAACTGCATTCAGTTTGGTTCCATTAAATGTTTTCTGAATTGCTTTTTTTAACCTTTGTGTTATTATTTTCTCGGTAGAGTCATTTAGAAACTGTAACTCTAAGGACAGTAACTGCGAAACAGTTGTTACCTTCGATCTTATTTTTACTCCATTCATAAGCTTATCGATAAACTTAGTTGGATATCCATTCCTGTTAATAGAGTTATGAATATTACTCTGAAAAAAACTAAATCAAAATCATTTCTCACATGATAATGAGAAGTTTGTCAGTATCTTCGGTGTCAAATAATAGAAAGCAGGAAAAATTGAAATATCCATAACACTTTAACATTATCTATGGCCTTTTGTATACAACTTAGTTCTTGGAATTCAAATTTCAAGAGCTATAGTTATTCCTCATTATGAATAGAAAACATTCTTACATTCTAATTCTAACTACCTACCTCAATCTTTTTCTTTTCTATAATGAATAATTCAACATGTAAAAATTCACTAATCATTTCAAATATTTATTTATTGAATGATAAATTGCTTTTTAACCAAACACTATCTTCTGACTGGCTAGTTAGTTATTCGTATTTGTCACTATAATTCACTTCAACCATGAATACTTATCAACGTTATTAATTCTCAGAGTATTGTGCTGCTTCCGAATCAATTGGTAATATGTTGATTGTATGATTCAATTCATCTTTCCTTCTATCGTTTTAAGATATGTAATAGTTTCGTTTTTACCTTGTGTTACTATTTTTGGTTAGTTAAGCTTAACATAAATTTTTAGTTCATATTATAGGTAAATAATCGTTCATTTGTCATCATAAGATGAAATATAATAGTGTCAATAGAATTGACATATTATTTGCTTCGAATACCCAAATCATATGATGTCACTCTTTCTGGTAGACTACAAAAAATGTTTACATTGTAATGGTGTACAGTTGTACAGATTTCACCAACTACAAATTATGATTAAATGGAATGACCAACATTGTATTAAACTATCAAATGAACTACAATTAATTAGAATATACTATTTATGCGATTCGTTCAACCTTTTAACCTAATCTATTTTAGAAGTATGCAATTATTGAAATGATTTTTCATATCTTAGATTTGTTTTACTGAATTAATTATGTATAAGGACTGAAAAATATGCTTGCGTGGTTTTGTGAAATGTTCACAATCAATTGTAATGTCCCAAACGATAAAATGCAAGTGAAAATAACAATAAAGCTTGATATTTTCGTTGTTGTCGCCTATTTTTAAAAAGAAACGTGAAATGAATACACCTAGATTTATGTCCATTCTGGCTTCCTTTCAAGAGACATGATTATTAAACAATATATCTCACTTGAGTTGCCACGATACGGAATTTTGTCTATCTTTTCAAGATAACAGCTACAATCACATAGAATATCGTGTAAATTAACAAAAACGATTGATACAAGAAATATAACATTAAATTACATTACTTTTTCAGTGGTAATGTCACTGCTTGGGATGTTTTACTTAAACAGATTACATACCTGATTTCCACTAAACCGCTATCGTTTTTCAAGTGTGAAATAGCATTTACACTTGATCGAATTAAATTTTGTGTAATTTTCTAAATGATATGTAATTTTTTCTTTTGTGTAAATCTGTTTGATTTGAATAATCGAAATGGAAAATTACATTAATTAATAATGAAAATAATTCTTAAATCTCAACCAAACAATCATTAAAAGATAAAACCACAGACTTACTGAAGCAAGACAACCGTTGAAGTCTAAGAAGCATTGGATAGTCATTTTGTCCTAGTATGTCTCATCAACAGGATGCATACACAACCCCTCCAGGAATTAAACTACAATTTTCATGCCTCGTGGTAGGCGCTTCACTCCAACCTAGTTTTCGATGGTCGTCCAGACAAAATTAATCCGTATTGTAATCCACAAAATTCAACATTCTCCAAAAACCCTGTATTACGGAAAAAATATAATTTATTATATAATAAATATTTCACTATGAACCAATAACTAAAGTAACACAATAATCGACAATCACTAACATCCACCATTTGTTTTTCTTATTGTTTCTGTTGTTTTTTTTCTCATTTAAAGATTAATCAAAATCAACCTCCTCATAAAGAAACCAGTATCCTACGACATTTGTTTGTTTTTAATGATTTAATTATTATTGCAAAAGATTCCTCTTCAAAACGTACTTCTGGTAGAAGATTAGTTTTCGACAAGTCAAGAAAAATTCAATCAAAAATAAATGATAAGATATTATCACCAGATCAATATGATAATTTTCTTCGTCCACCATTAGATTTATTATATACTGATTGTGATAAAAAGTTTAAAATAATGAATGCTGAATCGAATACACTTAACTGTATGCAACCAACCGTTGGTTGTGTACCTCATAGAGTAGGAGGCGGAAGAGGAAGAAGAAGCAGATCAAAAAATGAACTTTATAGTCGAAAGGCAGCTAATTCTACTTCACATTCCTATACACGTCTTACTGCTTTATATGTTTTTTCATTATATAGATGTAAAATTCGTCCTTTTAAAACTGATGGTAAGTGAAAAATTTATACATAAGCGTTAATAGTTCAACTCTATCATTTGAGATTTATAGTATTACTTGAGTTTTATCTTATAATTTAATAGTGTTTTGATGAAAGAGATTGTTACATCTTCACATGCAAATCGATATCACGTGCCAATATCTTCAATCAAAACTCCGATTATAATGTTTCTTTGAGATCATGGATCGATCAGTGTTGGGTCGCCATTAAAGACCTGGAAGCACTGGAAGGCTGTTTTGTCATGGTATGGGACTCCTCAGCAGTACGCATCCACGGTCCTATATGCGGGATTCTAACTAGGAACCTTCATTCTCGCGCGCCAACCCTTAGTCTCTCAGGTTTTTAATGGTGGTCCTACACTGATCGATTCGTGATCTCAATAAAAGTTCACAACCCTATACTTATGCTTTCTCCATCTCACATCTACTATTTCATCTATAAATTAGCGTACTAGACTTGCCCAGTTATATATTCTGGCCTCCACAGCCAACCTTGAGCCAATATACGCTACATCCCTATTAGTCCGTCTATACACAAGCCTTTCTCTATCCCAGCCTCAAGTTCAAAGAAACGTTAGCAGCAGAGTTTCCATTATGACATCTCAATCAACCAGCCAGCCACTATCTCCAACATCCATTAGCTCATATACATCAATTAGTAGACCGCACAGCACAACAAATAGAAAATCATATTTTAAACATAATCATGCTATAAGTGGCAGAAAACGAAGTAAACAGTGCATAATTACTTAGCAATAATTAAGGAATAGTAGGTCCGAAGGAAGCTTACATCAAGCAGAATATAGAAATACAATAAAACAGTTATCTAATATGTAATAAAAATATAAATATCAATCTGAATAATAGTTCCAAGTGTTATAACTTCATTAAAATCGTCCCTTTAGAACACAGTGCATTAATAAAATTGTGGAATTATTGAGTTAACCAGTAATATGTGTGAGTTGATTTAAAGAAATTACTGGTCAGCAGAAAGTATATAATCTGCAATATGAAAATTTAAGACATCTCAAGATATTCATTTGCTAATTAACAGTCATATTTTGTCTCAATTTCCTTTTTTTCAAACTGAAAGAATCCACTTGAAAAAACCACTGATCGAATGAGTGGAATTTCTCATTTTATGCAACATGTTTAATGGTGTTTGTAGACTTTTCAAGAAATTTGATTATTTCAATGAAGTTTATTGACGTGATCAAAGTAAAATACTAAAATTGGTGTTAAAAATTTTAGTTTCCTTATTATTGTCCATTAATTAGTAATGAGCTTCATACCTGTCGGAATAACAATCCTCATTTCGATCAATATACAATTATTATGAATTTCAATCCCCGTTAGTCCACGAGCTTTTTTCATCCCTTCAGTGTCAAATCTGGAGACAAAGATAGCAAGTGGATTTAACCTTATATTATTATACTGTATTTGTCCTCCTTATTCAAAAATCCAGTTTTATATATATCCATTATATAATCACAAATAAGCAATCACAACGTGTACAGAACTAAGCATCGGGTAAATAGTTAATAATAAATATATATTTTTATATCCCAATGAGTAGAAAAGTTGTATTTCTGATTCTTCGTGACTTAATGTAAGTCACTTCTTCAGAGTAAAGAAATAACTGACATTAAATTGACACAAATTTAAATAGTACCACGAAACGTCAGAAATGTAATCTTCCTCCATATTGGGATATAGCAAAAATATATGTATTACTAGTTATATTTGATATAAAATCTGTACACTAAGTCCATATTTAATTAACAGTAATTTAGATAAAGTAAAGCGTACGACAACAATTAATAAATGAAATGAGATCTGACAATAAAACTATTATAAAATTACCATAAACTAGGTACTTAATAATAACACCAGAAACTATGAACTATAATTCTCTGTAAAATTATTCTGAAAGCTTCATCTCTACCAATTATATAGCCCAGCCAAACAAGTAGTTTCCTCCACCAATTTACAAGACACAGACACATTAGTATATATATATACATATATATATATATATATATATATATATATATATATATATATATATCTTATAATCTTTAAAATGTTACAAATGATTTATAGTCTAACCTTGAGATTTTTATCTCTATATCCACTAAACTAAGCTAAAAATAATTTTGTTTCATATTTGTATTGGTTGTTTGAATCTTCCCACTGATGTTCAGGATTGCAATTAATCAGTCTCTTATTGGCATATGTGCATCCTGTGTGAATTGCCTTGATATTGCCTTCGGTCACAATCATTACAAGCAGAGATGGATGGTGGGTAGTAGTAGAATTCAAGACGCGCGTTTTGTCCTGTTTTGGACTGACCAGCTGGATGTACCTACATCTCAGAGTTCATGTTCACTCCAGGACTCGAGCCAAGTACCGTTCGTGGCCAATTGCAGTCCTAAACATCAATGGGAAGATTCAATTAACCAATGCAAAAATGAATTAAACTCCACCACATTGCACAAGCTAGTGCTTATCAAAACCCAGTATCTAAGTACATAACGCGATGATGTTTATTGCAAACGGTACTGGGTCTGAGTCTCGGGGTGAACATCGATTCCGGGATGCAGGTACATCCAACCGACGAGTTCCAAATGGGACGAAACGCGCGTCCTGGATCCCACTGCTATCCACAATACATCTCTGCTTATAAAGATAAGTTCTCTGTCTAAGTCTACATATTTAACAATTTAAGATCATTATTGTATTGCATAAATTCATGTGTACTATTTGCATTTATTTCTTACATATCAACATTTTGTCCAATATATATATGTATATATATTTACTCCTAAAGACTATAAAATTTACATTTTTTGATGATATCATAGTGTATCGTTATGGAATAGAATTTTGGAAATTTCCCGAGACAAGAACATCACAACATCAATCTATTCCTAGTAGTTTTAACAATGGCAATTTACAACCGGAACAAATGATTATTATTGCTGCACTCGATAAAAGTGACTATGAAAATTTATTGAATGATTTATATCAAGCATTATGTGAAACAAATCTTGTCGCATTCGAATTAAAATAATATGCTTTTAATGAATTCATTTCTCTTACATCTTTATGTGATTATATTTGTATTTTTATTTGTCATTTCTCATTTCTTATGAAAATAAAACAGATAAACTACTTAATTACATTTACATCGAATTATATATATATATATATATATATATATATATATATATCATGTATGTTTACATTCCTAAACGGTAGATCTTCCTGATGTCTCTCTCTCCTATCTCTCTCTCTCTCTCTCTCTCTCTCTCTCTCTATATATATATATATATATATATATATATATATATATATATATATATATATATACAATGTTAGTTCATTAAATGCTATCTTAGGATTTTGAAACGCTATTTTTTCTCTCACACGAATCAAATAAAAATAGAAACATATTCATTTGATCCATCATAATTTTTACTGTTTCAACAAGTAATTACTGTTTACTTTCCTTCTAGCAAACTAAATATATTCAGATATATGTTTATATAAATATTTGATCTGTTTTCCCGTATAAGAACTATTGATTGTTTTTTTTTAGTTTGTTCTACTTGGTTTTACTGTTCTATTCTCCCACTCCATCCTCTCACGTATACATACACTTACATTATCTGTTTTTTTAACTAGTGTTGTCATTCGTTAGTTTTACTGTTTATTTTTTCTAAGAAAAACAACCAGTAAACTTTCTTTTTATTCAAGATAAAAATGTCATCGCAGCTATGTTTTTAATAATTGACTATATTCTTTGATTTATTTATGTATTGTAGAATTGATTCTCCATTTATTTTGGGTTTTTTTCATTACCTGTCATTATTGTTCAAATGCCACAATCACCCTGCCGATTTTATTTATCTCTGATTTTTCTTTTTTTCTGTTTTTATCATTGTTGAAAAGAAAAAAATAGTTCTAGATTATTTTAGTTAGAATATATATAAAGTGTACTGTTCAATAACTTCCATTGAATATCACTACTTCAATATTTATGATAAAATGATACTTCCCCATTGATCTATCAAAAATAAACATTATTATGCGTTTGTTATGATTTATCAATATTCTGATAATAAAGATGATAACGGTTAGATCATCAACTAGAGATCCATTTTTCAAACTATCATTTTTTCATCTAGACTTAGATTCTGTTAATATTTCTTTTTTTTCAAATGCTCTTTTACTATATTAGGTATCATTTTAGTTGTAAGGATTAATTTATAAAAATATAATTATTCAGATTTCAGACTATCTTCTGTGATTGGAACACCTATCTCTGTATCTCTTTAATTGTATCTGGTTAACTTCTAGTCATCTTGTATACATATTTTGTTTGTCATGTTGATTTATTCATTGAAAGATATTTAACTATTCAGTACTACTGTGATGATATATATTAATAATAATAATAATTGCTTTATTCAATATTATATTTTTGGTACAATATAGAATTCTCAACACAAAGTATTTCAAAAAGTTTCTGTTTCTTATTTCTTAATTGATCCTAACGATAACACATTGAGTGATTTCCAGTTAAATGTTAGTAGTTCAGGAATCGACATCTGAATAATCTTCATTCTTTTCAATGCATTTTGCCAGCCACCACGATGTCTTTGATTGTACTTTTTGTAAGTTGTACGGTGTAAGGTCATGAACTTTTCATAAATGCGCCTAAATAGGTTGTTGAAATATTTGGATGGCAGGAACAGATAGCCCAGATATTTAAGCAGGCCGCCAGAAATATATGCATATTGTTAAAACAAACCGATTTTTGACCTCAATTTGAAGGAGTCATGAATTTAGTTTGTCATGATTTTCCAATAAAAGTTGAGTTTGTTTTTTTTAATTATCGAACTGGTCGCAACGAAAATTTAGTTCAAATTTCTCAAAAAATTGTTATAAATTATAATTTTCATTGTCACTAACAGAAGCATGAATTCAGAAATAACCCATTTATGCAAGTTACTGATAAGTAATATTAAACGTAGCAAATTTACTAAACAATACACGTTGAAATGCAATGTTAGGACAACGACAAATGATACAAATACAAATAGTAACAGTCCCAGTGGTAGTAGAACAAAATGAGGCATAAACAATATAATTCGAGAGAAAAATGCACTCTTGGAATAAAAAGTATATTTTAGGTTTGAAACCCATGGTCTAGAGTATAAAAAGTGAATACATCTTTGCCATTGCAATTGATTCTGAGACATATCACTCAATGTCTCCAATAACCAGTTAGGTTGTCACAATGACCTCAACCAAGTGTTTTACACTTGTTAACATGGTTCAATTCAACAGTCAAAGGTTTGGTCAACTAAGGTCCTTAGGTTAACAGTTGGAATCTTGGGATTAATTGTCATATAAAGAAACTTCAAATCACTTCAGATAGTTCTTTGGACATTCATATTCTTACATAGATCATACAATAATTCTTTCCTTATAACAATAACTTATGTTTAAATATGAACATTCATCAAAATTGGAACTCTCAATTTGATAGGAATCGGGAACCAAGTATGCAAAAGATACAATATGTAAACATAATGTTCCAAACAATCACAGCAGTTTGAATAATTTCAACGCTCCGCCTACCAAAATTGTTCGCACAATATATCGGCTACAGTATCATATTCACAAATTTTCTGAATATTTGAGATAAGAGGACTGAAGATCGTTTACATCACAAAGTGATTGATTTTAGCTAGATATCCACTCAAAATCAATGACCACAAGATAGATATGAGTCATGGGTGTATGTTGCTAGGGTAAAACAGCTGACCTGTGTCCTCTAGTTTTCACTAGCAATCTGGAGAACGTCAGTCCATGATCCAAACTATCTACCGACTAAAAATAAATTCTAAGACTACTGATCGCTTGCTCATTTCTACCACAGATTTAAGGAAGAAAAAACACGGAATTTTATATCATAACGTTCACGGCCTTCCTTTTTGAAAATTTCCCCAACAAACACTTTAATGTAGCTCACAAGAACATGTAAAATTTAACTTTGAATTGCGAACAACTTTTCTAGGTAAAAATGCTTATTTGCATTAACGAAATTACCTATTTGATGGTAATGTAGAATGGTATTTTAAAATATTAATTAATCTTTGATTACATAAACCCATTATACAGGAAAGTAGATGTTAAGTCTGTTTTACTTTCTCTATTCATATTCACTTCCCTTCGACTTTTTTGTGTATTGTTTTATACTTTATTCAGTAAACAGCTGTTTTCCTAGCAATTTCTACGCGTCTATTGTAACGCGAGTTTATTCCAAAATATTTACATACTCTTATAACATTTATTGCATTTATCGTGATAGTCACTTTCTCTCAATCCCTTTAGCAGTTATTCGCAATTTTGTATAGTCGTTTATTCCTTGTTTAAACGCAACGGTTTCCATATTGTTTGCTCTTGATTCCGTTTTTGCTTGTTGATAAACTGTTATCATTTGCATTATCATACGTCATAATTATTTCTTATGTTATTATTACAGGAAGACTTTAATTTTATACTTACAAGGAGCCACACATACCTCACAAGTTGAAGTTTGTATCTTACTCAATAAAGAATAGCTTTTTTAAACAAATCTTTGTTTTGTGAACTTCGATTTCCCGCTTATCTCAATTGTGTGAATTAGACACTTCGATAGATTTAACAGTAGATCAATGTTTTATGTCGATTTGATATTCATCTCAAAGGGGTGAATTTAAATTCTATGCAAAAGCATTTAATAGTAAACAAACTATAAAAGATTTAGAAAAGAAATAAAATGTACAAAAATAAAACTGTAGATTTGATTTTTACTACTGAATCATTTAAAAGCAAAGTGAAGAATTACCAGGTGATTAGAGTAGAAAGTTAACGAATATGTGTTGATAATGCTACTATTTAAGAATTTACAAAACTTGTAAATGTGAAGATAAATCATTGATTACATCCGTTTATAGCTGGTAAGATGCCTACAAATATAGTAAATTCATGTTATTCCATAAATTTTGTTTTACCTAAACTTATCAAGAGGTCAGAACGCATGAAAATCAATAATAGTTTATGTTTAAGCTTTTAGAATAATAAAATCTTATGTACTTTTATGTCGCAGTTAGACAACCATTGAATATGAATAGGCAGTGAACAGCTGTTCATTCCCAGTACATTACTTCATATTTACAAAAGAAGTATGTATATGCATGTCATATGAGATTACTTAGAATGATGGATACTTTATTCATATAACTTGATCAGCATTTAAGCTAGACAAATAACAGTTACTACTGACTGTTCAATCAGTGTAAGTTATATTAACTATGGTGTTTTTTTTAGAAATGGTAATAGAAACTTGTAAGTTAAAGAATACTGTTAAGCGATTTATCGTTTAAAAATCTCCATCATATTAAAACACTATTTTATGGACGAATGATAGCCTTTCCAATAGATTCTCTTCAGATTCTACAATTGTATATCGAAATTGTTACTCCAGAAAGTGGTCACGTTTAGAGCAAAATGTACGGTTTAAAATTATAATTAAAATATGTCAATTTATATACTTAAATAACATTATTCATTGCAAGATAATGATGAATAATACAATGGAGTAGATCCCCTTACTGTAGTCTTAAAATGAATGGTTATTTAGAATCAGTAAGAAAATTAAACACAAAAATACGACTTCAGTTAATATAATGCTTAATTATTAGAAATTTTTGACCACCATTCAGAACGTGGAAGCACTAGACGGTCGTTTCGTCCTGATATGGGTTCGAGTCCCGCGTGCGGGATCTTGCATGCGCACTACCGAGGAGTCCAATACTAGGACGAAACGGCCGTCCAGTGCTTCCACGTTTTCAATGGTGGTCTAACACTGTTTCATTAATGATATCAATCTAAACTCAATAACCTCCACAACCCTAGACTGATTATTAGAAATGTCCAAATTATATATGAATATGGAGTTAATAATACATAAAAGAAAATGGATTTTTAAATATCTTAACTTCTTACCCATATGTATAAAAAACTCTCATGGGGTTTTTTGAGGAATATGGATAATGAAAGTAACTCATATATGCTACTTAATACAACTTATTTGAATATGTTTCATTAGTAATCGTAAAGGTAGTCATTTTAATTAAGCGGTTTAGCCTTAAAAGGTTAAATAAATACAGAAAAACATGAAAAGTTTCCATCCCACTTCGGAAGTTACTAATGAGTAGTGTAAGATAATTGCGAACAATTTCAGACCATATCGCTGTGATAATGTAATTAAAATACGATTGTTTCAATCAATTATATCAAGGTTGATGGTAGACTGCCATAAGGCTCGGTATTACTTTGTCTGATGTTGTGACGCTTAAACGATTATCTACACTAGATCCCTCCCAGTGTCTATTCTACGGGACTTCAACACAACTCAGATCAAGAACACGTAATCAGCCTGACCAGAACGTAATATATTTTACACCCAAAACCGACACAATCCACAACATTGAACAATCAATAATAAGATGTATATAAGAGTGAGTGTGTCACAATAATAAGGGTAAGGGAATATATAACTTATCTGACACCTGTCAGACTGTCTACATGTCTGACTAAGCAGACAACCAATCATGATCGTTCTCGCTCACACATCATAGACCTAGTTGATGTTGAACTCTTCTAATTAACATTTTTAGCCAAAATTTGTATGGATTTGTGTCAAACAACTTTTTATAATTCGTTATGAATCCTTCATGGAATTTCCCAAAAAATTGAGACCTGAATTATACTCAAAACAAAATACATCGTACATCAGAACTATAACTAAGATATTTACTCACTGCCTCAAAAATCAGAAGAGCTCCTAGTATCCAGAAAATTATTCAAATTTATTTCTCTACCGTAATTACCTTCGAGTTAAAGGCAATTGTACAAACCATGTTCTGTTAGTCATATTGCAACCAATATTATGGGTTATATCGGTTAAAAAGTATCAAAACTTTGACCACATTTTCTTTCACTCAATTTCGGACAGCTTTAGGTATATACTGCTTAGTGAGATAACTAGTGTAAACAAAAGTCATTTTATCATTTGAGTCAAAGCAGAAATGTGCCACCCAAACAAACTTTTTCAGTAGGGATTCGCAGTCGTTAAAACTGATGGAACCAGTTTTCATTAGTTAACACACATATATCACCACAGACTTCTTGTTTATCACTTTCTCAGCATAGCTCTGTCTATCGGAAGGAACGGTACAATCTAGTATAGGCCGCCCACCAGCACTCTCTGTAGGACTCCATCCTGGACTCTCCTTTCCAGTTCTTTCTAATTGCTATTCACCATATTAATATTTGTCCCCAATTCTTGACGCATTGTGTTCTTCGGTTTTCCTCTTTTCCTTTTCCTTTCAGGATTTCAAGTTAGAGATTGCCCCATAATTCAGTCTGATGATTTCCTTGATGTATTTTCTATCCACTTCAGTAATCTTTTCCCAATTTCCTGTTCAGATGGAAGCTGGTTTGCTCTCTCCCACAGTAGGCTGTTTCTAATGGTATCCATTCAACGGACATTGAGTATTTACTATAGACAATTGTTTATAATTACTTGTACTTTCAGCAAAACGTACAAACCAAACCAGTTTCTAAACATGCTTAAAGTTCAAGTTAGTATCCCATTTTGTCTATTCTTGTTCAACACCAGCACATACAAAATAAAGTCCGACTGAGTACAATAATCCATAGTTAAAATATTTTTATGCATATACCATACTTTGAGAAATGGAATATTTTTAAACTCAGCAATCATAAGCTAGATAATTTTGTTAATATTATCGTTTTGTAATGACGATTATACAAGTTAATATTCATCTTTTGGCATTTTGATATGATAGCTGATGTCAATAGGTGATGAAAACCCTAACTTCTACCTTTTAATCCTAATTCTTCGCACTAATCTAAAACACTCTTTTAACCCTAGTAAGAAGATGCATTTTCTCAAGGCCACTTTTTCGTTGTTCAAAGGTCGTCAATAAATTGTAGTCTTATTGAATATTCTACGAACCGGACCCTAAAATGATGTTTAGCAGGAGATAAAAAATTTTATTTTATAACATAAATATTTGTCATGGAATTCCAATATATCTCTTAGCAAGAAGAGCCAGCCTAACTCAAAATTTGTGACCGAAAATCCTTTAGTAAACATGAAAAAACGAAAATGTAGAGTTAAACAAACTACTAAAACTAACCACGATATATTTGGCAGTGAAAGAACTACAAAAACTGCCTGGGAAGCAGTCATTCTAAAGTACATACTCTGAAGCTTCGGCGTAAATGGTTCAAATGGTTCTAGTAGTAGTGGATTACTGATGCTTTCATGTAGGAACCTAGTTTTATTTAACGACAAAAAAGGAAATATTAGTGAATCATAGCGAAATGCTGTCTTGAGCCCATAAGAATATGTCGAGTTCTCTCTTAAAGGACCCCTGAAAAGTCGTTTGAACCAGTTCACCCAGCAGAGAGTTCAGGAATCGAGCTACTCGTAAAGAGTAGAAGGTGCTTCCATAGTACATTATGCTATGTTGTGTCGCTAATTTCTGGGCGTCACACCTGAGGTTTCGATTGGGGCTGACCTTAAGTATTTGAGTGGATGCTCAGCAGTGTTTAGGGTTCTATAAGTCATTAGAAAATCACCTTGGCATTCTATAGAATCCTTAAACTTCATATACAGTTCGTTTTGATAACCGTCACTAGATAACGCCCCAAAGGTGTATTAATCAGAAGGCGAATACGAAGTGTTGATTACGTATATTATGGGACTACACACAGATATCCAATTTACAAGTACGTTAAGTAAGAATAAAAGATTAGTACCGAAAAGCTAACAGGCAAGCGAGTGAGTCAGCAAATACGAGTAAGAGTCATTGAATAAATGACTCCATCCATTAAATAATTTAACATAATGGCTTAACCAAATTAAACATGAACAAACTCAATTTCACGTGCGTTACTATACATTCCTGATATCAATCAAAAACTAAATATATTACTAAATAAAAAATAAATTTCCCAACGGAGGATAAACACTATATTCATTTAAAATCATTCACAATAACTATATATATAAAGAATAATTGATCTAAACTATTCAAATTATTAAAATTCAATATATCAATAACAAAAAATAATCAATTAAATTCAAACAATAATCAATAGTTCGATCAAATTTACTAGTAATAGTTATACAAACTATTACACATATTGTAAGTAACTAATACGAACTACATGTATTCTTTTTTCTTGGTAAAATTACACAAACATGATAAAAGTAATAATAATACCATATTGTAAGCTTTTACATAATAAAAATTACTCAATTATATATATATATATATATATATATATATATATATATATATATATATATATATACATTACTGTTGACTCCCAATTTATAATCAATACAGTAGTATGAAATAGTACAAAGAAAAAAATCTATATCATTAAAATTTAATTAAGAAAATCTAATTGCTTAACAAACTTGTCAAAATGATTATCAATTTTCATGAATACTCGATCATTAGATTATATTACTAATGTTCAAGTTAACCTATAAATGAATAAATAAATGAACCAATGAATTTATATTCATAAAAGTAAGTAATTATGAATGAATGGATACTTTATACTATTTAGTTAGTGATTGGATTGTTTACATATATTTCTATACCAAACAAAAAAACAAAAAAAAAAATGAGAACACATAATGACTATGTACCAATCTAGTGCAACTCAACAAATACATACATTATTTAATAACGTACTAACAATAAATTAAATCTTTTTTTTACAATATTACAAATGATTAAACAATAAAACTATTGTGTATCAAATTAAAATTACTTTTATTATCAATAATTTAATTTAATGATGCTTATAGTACATGTTGCATTGCCTACATTTATTTGTGTAGAACAATTTATTATAACTAAATTATATTTTAAAAGATCTGTTAGAAGTGTTACTTATGATAATCTTATTTCAAAACTATGTGAATATACTAAGACAAAAAAGGGGAAATTCTATGTTTCATGGCATGGTAAGTATATTATATATATATATATGTTTTTATTTGAGTTCATGAATTGATTGATGTTACACTATCATTGAAAACCTGGAAGCATTGGATGACCGTTTCGTCCTATTGTGGGACTTCTCAGTTGTGTGCATCCATGATCCTGCCCTGTGGGATTCGAATCCAGGGCCTTCAGTCTTGCGCGCGAATGCTTAACCTACCGAACCAATGAGCTGGCATCCAATAGTGTTCATGTCTAACCTCAACCAATCCATAAAATTTCGTGACCATCTTCCAGTGTACTGGGGTAGATACCTGTCTCTATATAATACGGATTAACTCCACTGGTCATGGCTTATCATTAGAACTCCGAGAATTTCCTCACGAAGTTAGTCACTAGTGAGCACATGGTAATTATTGTTAAGTTTTCAATTGAGATCATGAACTGAATGATGTTAAACTACCGTTGAAAATCTGGAAGAACTGGACGGCCATTTTGTCCTAATATGGGACTCGAATGCTTAACCTACTGGACCACTGAGCCGTGTATTTTAAATAAATTATTATTAGCATTATTGATCATTTAAATCATGTTTATATAATAGTATATATTATATCATTTGAATTAGTTCAAATTGATTTGTAAAAATGTGTTTAAACTTATATGGATTGTAAGTAGGCACTATTAAGGACTAGATAAATATGAGTTTGGTCATTACCCAATGATCTATCAATTATGATTACCTCAGTTCTTTAACAGATCAATTTCAACACAAAGAGCTCAATTGTAACGTTTCAGATGATAAAGCAGGGTGACTTTCTACAGGAAGCACTGTTTCCTTCAAGATTTCAGTTATGCATTTCTGCTGAATGCCAAGTATCACAAAGCCTAGATCAAAAACAAAACATTTCTTGCCAATCATTTCAAATCACCTTCCATCGATTTCATTGAATCTAGACTGACTTCATAAAGTAACTTGAAAAGATTGAAAAAGATACAAACGATTAAATACTGGATAAAGTATTCGTACAAGCATTAAATGATAAATGAACTGATTTTAGTTTTGCCGTATCAACAAAAACGTTCACTCTAGAACCAAATGTTCTATTTTCCTTCATACAGACGACTATCATCAATGTGTCGCGGTTTTTCACCACCTGTAAACAATATAAAATTACAAAGAACAGTTTAATTATCAGCAAACGTTTAACATACTTCATTTAATGAATTTTAGATGAATGTTTAGAATGGAACTAAAAAATCACAATACGAAGAATATGACACAAGATACATAAATAAACATAGTTAAGATAGATACGTATTTATATATTGGAAAAATATAAATATAAAATAGAGGGAATAATGTTATAGTTGCTGATAACGAAATCTAAGAAAAAGGAATTATGTAACGATAATAAAAGTAACAAATGATTGCGTGATTAAGTAACATAAACTTGTCTAGAAATTGAAATAATATATGAGCATCAATAACATAAAATGAATTAGAAGTAAAAAACGTTTGTAAAGAAGTTATTTGATTACAATCATGGTCAGCATGATAGAGAAATGGTTATCACATTTTCCTTCTGTCCAAAAAAGTCAGGCTGGAAGCACTTGTTAGTTATAACCTCTACAAAACAAAGTAAAAGATATTTTGGTAGTTTGTTCACTAATTTGAATCCATGATTGATATTCAATTTATGTTCGCTAACCATCAGGTGTTCAACGATTGAACTTGTGAAGATTTTACTGCCTTTCAGACATAGGCTCTTAGAAACGTGTTAAGGAAACCTGATGGTAACTCCTCTCTTCCTTTTCTCTATAAATCTGCTACATATAAACTTATAAGTGCAATTGCAGGTGACATCGTAAGGCTATTGATCGACCTTCGAATGATTTAACAAATTTTCGATAGTCTGTATTAAAAGCATTGAAACTTCAGAAAAGTAGCAAACAACCAATATCAATTTTACTCCGTTTTTGACAGCCAATTACTATACGACATTTCTGGAAAGTTAAACCTTTGTTTATAATTATATTACTTCTCATGATTTTAGCCTGTTTGCAGCTAGTAAAAAGCTATGAAATAAAATGAAACCACTTTATTATGTATACTTCGTTATCCTTGCTTGGTTTAATCTTATCAGGGAATTCGGTTGTATGAAACTTTCAAATACATTTCCAAACAAAATTTACACTTGCCTGGGTATGTGCTTCCAGCTGATAGGGACTCTCTTTCAAACTGAATTAATTTAAATATGTTGTCCTGAATTCATGTTATATTGATCCCTAGGTGTCAATCAGTCCAATGTCCATCGATGTTCACTACCAAAATAATTCTATTTATTACAATATCCCAATTAACTTACTAAATCAAATTTACATAAAAGCAGCAGTTATAAGTTGTTGTGATGATGTGACATTATGAGTACAACATAGGAAAGGAATACATTCTACATATTCCCCCGACCTTTATATTATTTCTCATTCTTAAAAAAAGGAAACTAGTAACCTTCCTGCATATTGTTGACCTCTGAGAACAACATATAAATAAATTTATTGAGTAGACAGTCTGATACAGGTGAAGATGATGGGTAAATTATTTTATATAATTATTTACTCAGTATAAATGAAAACCAAGGTGGTGGTGGTGGTTGGTATAATAAATTAGAATTCTACCGAACATGCTCTATGAGATCACCTCTATTGTGAGTAGCAGATTTCACTAGCCATATCAGAATTAATCAAACACTAAATAACTATTTAGGGAATTGTTATACAACATTTGTTTATAGTATTAGTTCACTAGAGCTTAATTAACCACTCCCTGGATGGAGTCTTGAGGACTATCCAAATGAGTGTCTTGAAGCATTATCAGTAGAGTTTAAAATAAGAGCTAATGTTGATCCTTCTGTAATATTTATTACATTCCTTGTAAATAGTAAGATGCCTGTTTTAGTCAATAATAAAATCAATCTTTAATTTACTCATATTCATACCTTGTTTTTTAACGCATGTTATCATGATTTTTATTGACTGATCGTAAGATTTATTTATTTATTTACATTCTCATAACAACGTTATGACGTATTTCTTAGTATTCTATTAAATCAAGCTTTATCTGGTTATCATCGCTATCTTTAGCGGCTTTAAAAAGAAGTTAAAAAAGACTATAATGTAAACAGAGCCTAAGATAATAATACTCCTGTTAGAATAATACCGGAATAATGGAAACACTTATTCCTACTGAAAGAGTCATTAATATAATTTGAAAATGTTTATTCAATAGATTCTAGTATAGTGATTTGAAAGTATGTGTACTCCTCGTAACACATTAAGAAATATAACTTCAACAATAGTTTAAACATTTTGTATTTTAATTGAGATCATGAACCGGTTAATGTTAGACCAGCATTGAAAATCTAGAAGCACTGGATGGCCGTTACCCACCGAAGATAATGAAAAATGGTCGCGAAATATCATTGATTGAAGGTATACATTAATAAATTTAGATACCGGTTCAATGATATAGAGGTAAGGCGTTCGCGCGAAATCGACGGTCCTTGGTTAGAGCCCAGCGTGTGGGGTCATGGGTGCGCGCTACTAAGAAGTCCTACACTCGGACGAAACGGCCACCCAGTGTTCCCAGGTATTCCATGGCGATCTAACATTAGTTGGTTCATAATCTCAATTAAAACTCAACAAGCTCTACATTAATATTCTATGTTTGTCCAAGAAGCACTAATTCATGAAGGTATAAGAATATCTTGATAAAAGTTCGATTGTCCTTTATGATCTCTCACTATTTAATAGGGTTCCTAATTGATGACGACAAATAATGTAATGAGTTACTCCAACAAAGATGTTAAACACTGATCATCCATTAAATCGTATTTTTGTGGGTCTCCACTGTCTGATGTTTTCAATTAAATATTATTATACTGGCTGATATCCAGTTAAACTTTTGCTCAGTCTGATTTATAAACAAGTCTAAACATAAAAACCATTGAACTTCAACGAAATTGTATAGAATATATTTTTTTAATTCTCAAAGGAATAACTATCGGGTATTAAATGAATATTAAACCTGCCTTCATAAATTCCGTCATATAAGATTTGGTAGACATGACGTTTTAAAACAATGAGAAGCAATGACTGATTTCACTAGGTCGTATCTATCGAAAAAATGGACCTTAACACTAGGGTTAATACTTTCACAGAAACTTTAATCGAGTGCAGTAAGCTTTAAATCCGAAAATTATTCATTGCTAAGCTACAGAACATAAATAATGTAATGATGTAATCAGAAATTTTTAATCAATCAAGTCAAATAAACAAAAATAAAAAACTGCTCTTCTAGAGCACGTACTGCACGAAACTTAATTTACATAGTTTATTGTTTAGTCTATTAGTAATGTTTACGTACAAATCAAAATTTACAGTGTAACAGAAGTTGAAAACCAGTAAATCAGAACTCATGACTTGAGTATATTGACCAATTATTAACATGACGTTGAAATAAAGTTTTGCATATCTCATGAACACACATTGTATATAAAATGGTTTTGTTTACCCTATATATCTTTCCACCAAAGTAACTTTTCACACAGGGGCGGTAAACAAAACAATTCATCACTTAGGTATGAAATACTAATCAATAATATCCGCCATTCTATTCCATAATTAACCTGGCCAACACTAGAACCAATCACTACACCACTATTACTCAGAAAGTCCTAATATAAACAAAGCAAGATTATCAACATTTGTATAATATGATGAATTCATTGTATTTCATTGGTTTCAATAGCACGTCACTAATTAGACATGGATCATAGTATGGATTTTATGAATCCCTTTTAAACTATCAATAAACAGCCCAATCCCACGCTATTAAAATGAGCGAAAGCCATGGCAATTAAAAGACTTATTCAGGAATCAAAACATGGCATCAGTACTTAAAGTCACTAACTTCTGGTCTGAATCATATTAGTAGATGCAGACTAGTTGGTTAGGGTCTGCGTAATTATCGTAACCAATGGTTGGAGACTGGGTGACATGGCTCACAACTGAGCACAATGGTGTAGGTGTATACATCTCTGTCTTCCCTTAAACTATGAGTTGAAATAGCTTTGTACCTTTCTTTCTACCAACTATTTTTTTCTTCCTGTACTATGTCCTTATATGCAATCTTACTTTTATATATTACCACCACTGAATTAATCACTTCTATGAATCCAGTGCTCATCATGCTGTGCTAATGCGGTATGGCAACTTGGACCGATGCATGCCTGGTCCTACGTTGTAGCTGACTGACCGACTGATTCAAAAAGAGTCAATAGTTAACCTTTATCTACCTTAGTGAAATTTCAACCCCTTTCTTTTCAATCAAATGTTATCATAGTTCAGTAAGTTTATCTCACATCTCCACTTTTCCTTCTTAAACTTTAAAAAAACATTTTGTTTAATTAACAAATGAAAAATATCTTGACATTTTAGAACTTATTACCTTAAGCCATTATCAATAGACCCCGTTTTAAAACTTTAATTCTTAAGTTCTTTTACATCATACACAAATTATTAATTATTGATTGATATTTCAATTTTAACAACATATCATTGAAATGGAAACAGTTAGCTTAGTTATAACTGACGAGAAAGCAACAAAATACAATGAATTCGTTTCATTCTGCAAATAATAATAATTTGCTTAAAATTATGAAAGAAACCAATTGAATGAAACACCAAACATCATACACACCCTCTCTCAATTAACCAGTCGTATATAGGATTGAAAACTGTCACCAATCAAGTATTATATTTTCATTGTAGATATCACAGAACAATAGGCGATAAAATGAGAACACTCCATATGATCACTGATCGATGATGATGATGATGAGTGCAAATTGTGTAATATTCTATATTCAATGAATATTTCATGGTTTTCTCTCATCTCTTTATCATCAATGTTTCATATTGTGTTTGGGTTTTGTTTAATTTCGTTTGTTTGTATTGAGCAAACGGAAGTATGGTATGTTGTTTTCTATTCACATGACTATTATGACTAGCATTCACTCTTTGTTTAAGTGTTGTATGACTTCAATTTGCGTGAATGATACTGTCAAATGATATCAATGGAAATCACTCGTCTAAGTATACGTAACATATAAGTAACATGAATAAAATAAATGAAGTAATGAAATGTAAATGAATATCTAAAGGTGAGATTATTTAAGTCTACGTTTTTAATCGATAAATTTGTGGAAATATGTCAAGTGATTTGATGAATGACTACAATGTAATGTTATTGGTTTAAAGTATACTTGAGTATAATTGGATAGAACTTTCAATATGTGTCTAAGTATTATTTTTCATGTCACTTAATGGCTAAGTAAGGTGAACACACTAAAATACTATTCATATTTGAAGTCCTTCATCCCTAAGTAAATAATTGAAATTGATCAGTTTACTCTCTTATTTACTCTAATAAACTAATTAATCATCATGTGGGATTTGATTATAATGGATATTTCTTCTAGTTAATTTCTTGATCAGTTGATGTTTTTCTTTATCATTCTAAATTTGTTTCCTATTCAATGTGTTTATGGGTATCACACTCAAGTTTATTTCAAAAGAATACATTTATAGTTTTAGTTATGTTGATACATTGATTGGAAATAGAACTTTCAAAAACTCGGTTTAATATAAGTGGGGAATCTTCCATTTCATTGAATTCTAACAAAGTTTTTGCAACAAGCAGTCAAATTATTAAGCAGATTTTTATTAGGTTCAAATATAAATCCATTTACAAGCTTAAGGTTCTATTGTCATCAATCATTTCAGCTAAAATATACTTGGGACCTGAGCATATATTCGCTCATAACACTGAAATGTAAAAACAACTGTCAAGCAATTATTCATTCATTTTTAAGTATGAAAATTAATTTATTAAATAATAAATTACTAGCTAATCTAGTAATCGGTTCAATGATAAACATGAGTGAGAAGTTGTTATTGTCTTACTTCACATTCTTTACATTCGATAGACAATGAGATCTTACTTTACATCAATACGCTTATTTGTTCAGTAGTAGCAATAAGAGTTAAAATAAAAGGTAATTGTGCTTGTTTGGAATTATAAAACACGAATACAATATTGTTATATTTATGTCTATGGATAGATATATTCCATTAGATACAAACTACTTACTCAGTCTGCTTTTACATTTCATACTTTGATAATTTGTATTAGCACTCTTTAGCTGTCATTTTGTATCCAGGTTCACAATATTATTTTTCTAGACGATATAGCAATTTGGAAGTAAATAGTAATGTATCCAGTGACCTAGAAATCTATATCTTAAGCCAGGTCGACGGAGTCTTACAGCATAGGTTTGTCATGTATATCTTTTGAATTGTTACAATCCGCACATTGTTTTTCCATTTCCAACTATTTCTAGGTAAATGAATAGGTTAAGCTGGCTTGGATCAATCTTTATTTCTTCGATAATTATCTTTTTAGAAAAAAACTATTGTCGTTCAATAAGTTTCAATTTATGAGTTAATTAAAAGTTTGTATTGGAGAGCTTACAAAGGAAATTGAAAGCACTGAATGTTCTATTAGTGTTCTCCAAGTTTTACTAACAATAACCTAATTAAAATGAGCTATACTGACCATTCATCATGAATAATTTTTAAAAATTTAAGCGAGAGAGGGAATTATGCTACTTGTTATAAAAATTAACTATTAAAAATGTCAGAAGGGGTTTTTTGTGGATATTATAGAAATTTCAATGGTTGGTATCATGAGTTAATTGAAACTAGACCACCATCAAAAACCTGGAAGAACTGGACTGACGTTTCGTCCTATTGTGGAACTCTTCAGCAGTTCTCATCCATGATCCCGCCTCACGACATTCGATCGGGTCTGTTGTGAGGTAGTAACTCACTGAAGACAATGGTGGATGTGCCGCTCAATTTCGTGAATTGGTTGAAGTCATACATCAACACAGTTGGATGCCGGCTCAGTGGTCTAGTGGTTAAGCGCTTGTGCGCGAGACTGGTAGGTGCTGCGTATTAAATATATGTTGTTACAACGAATCACATTAAAATGATTCCTTTACATTTAATAATAATTAATGAATTTCCAATATTTGGTTGTGCGGATTGTTGAATTTCATTTTGGTCACGAGCTGACCAGTGTTAGACCACCACTCAAAACCTGGAAGCACTAAACTGTCTTTTCATTCTACTATGTGATTCCCCAGAAGTGGGAATCCTCGACTCCATCCGTCAGACCCCAACCCAATACCAGTCCTAAGGATCAATAAGAAGGCTCAAATAACTAATAGAAATGAATTACTTACTTACGCCTGTTACTCCTCGTGGAGGAGCATAGGCCGCCCACCAGTAGTCGCCATACAATCCTGTCCCGGGCAAGCCTTTCCAGTTCTCTCCAGTTGTTGTTTATACCTTTCATATCCTCTTCTATTTCCCGACGTAGTGTGTTCTTTGGCCTTCCTCTTTTCCTCTTCCCTTCAGGATTCCAAGTTAAACCATGCCTTGTGATGTAGTTTGGTGATTTCCGTAATATATGTTCTAACCACTTCCAAAGTGTCTTCCTAATTTCCTCTTCAGTTGGGAGCTGGTTTGTTCTCTCCCACAGAATGGTGTTGCTGATGGTATCCGGCCAATGGATTTTGAGTATCTTGAGTAGACAACTATTTATAAATACTTGTACCTTCTTGATGATGGTTGTAGCAGTTCTCCGCATTTCAGCTCCGTACAGTAGGACTGTCTTGACACCTGCAGCCCTTCTAGAGTTACTGCCGGTCCCAAGCCCGGGTAAAGGAGGATGGTTGGCCATGAGGTCGGCAACCCCATCCCGTAGAAAAAATCTTGCTAAAAAACGTCAACCAGATTAAACAAATAGAAATGAATGAAATATATCTATTGATACTGTGACATGAAATCGATTTTTAATGTTGTCTACTTAATTGTGAATGTAAGAATGCACTGATTGTGTACTGTATAGGACGTGGTATGAATTCGCACTGGTTGAAGTTGAAATGCAATACATCAATACTATGTGGAAAGAAATTTCCAAAACGAGATGTGAAACGAATAGATCCGAAGGTCCTGGGTTAAAGTCCCGCGTGTTGGATCGTGGATGCGCACTGCTAGGGAGTCCTATACTAGGACAAAACGGTTATCCAGTGCTTCCAGGTCTTCAATCATGGTCTAGCTTACATCGACTCATGAATTTAACCATTTAAAGAACAATTGATATATCTTAAAAATAAAAAGTTTTGAAGCTCATTATAAAAAAGTTTGCTTTAATAAGTGTGTTTTAATAAGAAAACACAATTTTCATCCAATATATTAACTAAACTACAATCCTTGATCAATAAATATTTTTGTATCAATAATTATATTTATAGTAATTAGATATCATTAACTATTACAAAATCATTTGGTGTGTAAATCAATGCACTTATTTTTAGAAACAATTACTAGTTGGAAACTCCACCTTTCATTATTCTTTTGTGATTGTTTCTTTAAAAAAATTTACTTTCACAGATGGAACTGAATATTGTACAGTGTCGAATTCATCTAATCTGAGAGAAGCAATTGTACGAATGATATATGATCGTGAAGATAATACACCTTTATTATTTGCTACCCCAGTACTTCATTTAAATGAAACAAAATTACCTTCATTTTATGGTGGATGTAGACCAGAGCATTTACCAAGTGATTTTCGTGAACGTGCATCAAGAGCTGTATTTAATAAAGAGATCGATTACACAGAACCTGAATTGCCTGTTATCATTGAATTAATATGTAACATATGTAATAAAAATAATTGGTGTGGTGATCGATTCACATGCGTTATATGTCCTAGAGTTGTATTATGCCCTGATTGTTTTAAAAATAACAATCACTCAGAACATCCAATGTTGATTACTAGAGATAATGCAGAATTCCCATGTCCAGTATTACAAGCAGTTAAAATTGTAGCTTCAGATGTTACTGCAGAAGATTCTACTGGTGAAGACGATGAACAATCAGACTTATCTGATCCTAGAACATCATCATCTACTGCTACAAATGATTCTGATGATATTCATAAAACAATTGATGCACTTCGTGAAATGGGTTTTAAACAGAAAACTAGTGAATTAGTTGAATTAGTCACAAAAGAACATGGTAATTTACAGACAATTGTTGATAAGTTGGCTAATTAAAAATGTATGTTTTCAATGTTTTCCCGAATCATCAATCATCAATTCCCGTTTCGGTAGATATCATTGATTGTTATGGTTCTACCAAAATTAGTCTATGTAATAACAAATTAAATAACGTCTTTGTTTTCATTCTTTTTGCATACATTTATTTCAAACGTACCATATTTTGAGCATTTGACATTTTTTTTTACTACTTATTAGTAAGCTGAAATGGTTTTCAAAAATGGTAGGTGGTATGTGTCTTTTGAGGTTTGACTGACAACAGATTCTAACTCCCTAAATGTCTGGATAGAGATTTTGTATTCATAAACTTCTAACAGTACGATCATTCCCAAAGAAAAGGGTTATGTTCCGAAAACAACATATCGAACAAATCAGAATGTTTTACAAAATTAAAATTCTTACTGAACACTTCATATGAAAAATTGTAATAAAAAATAGATTATTTAACAGTATGTAAAACAAAACGCCAGATTTAACCATCAAAGACTGGTAAAACCGGAAAAAACAAAAAATCGGACTATAATTACGACAGTACTGCCCAGAAAATCAGTGGTTAACAGAAAGTGAATGAAACTAGTTAAAATAAAACTTTAAATTAGGTTCAGGGATAGATGGAACTCTAGCTAGGTGTATCTTCTTACCTAAAATAACTAATATTCCCCGAAGGATCCAAAATCCTCACCACTCAGTGCTTCAATCCATTTGAGAACATCTCATCGATTTATATCCTGTAGTACTGAGATGTTCGTATTACCCACTCTCATGTTTATACAGTTATTTCAGTTTAGAAAATACTATCGATTTTGACGGTTCTAATCAGCGGAGCTAAATAATACTGTCCGAATAGGTATTACATAGAGAAAACGTGGAATATACTGTCTTTATTTATGAAGGCTGGAAGGTTCACTAAGTTAACCTATTGGAAATTTCAACAAGTTAACATAACAAGATCCTATAAGTATATTATATATTTTGTGATGAACTGATAGTAAAGGCTGTATAAAATACATATAGAAAATTATCACATGATTAGGCAGATTGTTGAAAACGATTGAAACCTATGTACCATTCGAGAGATATTGAAAATTACCGTTAAACTAAATGAGATTATTTCTAGACTACTCAAGTGTGAAAAAGACTTTATTCATTTAAATCAAGTGAATTATCTTTCGTAAACGAATGATGTCATGAAAAATTCAACTAACAAGTAATTAACACTAATTCTTCACATGTTCAAAAGTATAGATTGATCTGTGATATTCTAACACTTCTCTATGATTAATTTAGTGACACATGGTTGAGATTAACTGTCAAGGCTCTCTAGACGTTCGTTTGTCCTAGTTAGTTAATGCTAGAAATCAATGATTGCAGTCTTTATAGGGTCCCTACCCTTTCGACCCTGAGGGGTCCTTATCCGATAGGTTGCTATTTTTTTTAAGTGGTATACCATAAAATGTAACTTTTCTCGACAAATTAAGTTAAGCAACGAGAATTTTTCAGTTGTAATTAAATCAAGAATTTCTAATACAGAATGTTTGTCGATATTTAGAATTCTATTTGGAAACCCAAAAAGACCTTAGAAATGCAACACCATCCCTAAAGATCAAGTGTTTGTTTCGACGGAATGAGGAAATGTTAAGTGAATAACTCGATCAACAGAGTAAGGTCCCTAAGCACGATTAGAGAAAGCAAAATGCGTTCTTAATGTCCTTTCATGAGTAGTACTACCCCAGCGCGTGCTAAAACATATAAGATTATTTTAAGGTGATCTGACAGAATCTGGCGATTATGACACCAAACTCCTTCTTAGTTCCTACTAGAACAATGTAAGTTAATCCAACAGAAGATCAACAAAAAAAGTGACATAATAGTGGCAACAAATAACATAATGTATATTTTGTGGAGGTGGTTATCAACCATACAGAAAAGATGTCTGACATAAGTGGTACAAGAAAATGGTATTGATCTCCGGTTAAAACACAAGATTCCAACATCAGTATTGAATGGCATATATACAGAACAACTTATAATAAGGGACTAGTCACCGATACATTTTTTATCACTCCACTGAGTGGGGCCTCTTCAGATCTCTGACTGGGTTCAAAAATTAGATTTCAATCTAACTTCTCATTATTCCATATACTAGAAATCTAGCTCATTAAGGACACTTGTTCAAATAACTTACCTAAAATCATTTAAACATTATACCCACTGGAATTAAAACAGTTGATACACACCATTCAGGGTGAACAAAACTCCAATAAAGAGAAATCAATAGGTTTTATAAAAAGTAATTATTGATTACTATTACTGCATCATATATGCAATGACTGGATATAACACTATTTTTATATATGCATACAAAGTGATACTGTATTGACCTAAAATGATCACATACAACAAATCAAATCTGTTATAAAAACAATTAACAGCTTTATATAATAGCAAAGACCAATTGTGATTCACAAGATAATCACACATCTCTCAAATCGATATCGATTAACTATAACTTATTGTATATTATATTGATGCGATTTGGACGAAAATGATCAGGTAATTCTACTAATGATGTTGTTCTTAAACATCACCTAAAAATATGGTTATATATGAAATACTGTAGTCTACCTATTGGGTTGTGATGTCATTCGAGTCTGATACTGATATTTATGCTTTCGATATACGTGCCTAAATCGCTATTTGAGAGAAAAAAGCCAAAAATAAATAGGAAGCTTTTCTTGACTTACCCGGATCGAAATACATGTATAAACTAATTCATCAATATGTGTCCTCAGAAAATTAGACCAGATTTTCAACCATTAACATATGTTTATCTTCATAGGATAACTAAGCACAATCTTTACCACTTTAGTCTAATTGTCAGGATCTCCCACTTATCATTTGTTCTTGGGCAGATATGTCTGGTAAGCTCAGAGTATTACCTTTTCTACTTAAAAATATAAGCTTAGCCTTTTTGAGTACAGCTACAGAAATTGAGGTGGGGATAGATTACTGTATAACGTATTACCTATCTCTCAAAGATAAAACAAATCATTGCTAGGTTTTATAGAAACTTTCAGCAAAAAATACAAAGTACCAATTTATTGAGCTAAAAGTACAAAATTTTAAAATCCAGAAAAGTCAAAGTCTTTAAGTGTAAAAAGCAGTTTACAAAACCAAGTTAAATAAATTTTAGATCCACTTCATTCAATCGATAGTATCATGTATTTATTACATGATCTCATATCTGATAAATATCTCATTTTATAATTTATGACTTGGCAATAAAACTTTGTGATGTTCACCTGTAAGCCAATTATTAGTGATTAAGAGATTAAGATTTAGCAAGACATTTCTTGAGAATTTGTCTAATCGTTTTTATTTAAACTATCTTCAGGACCTGACACTCATATTCACCAGTCATAGTTACCTGAATACTTCACCACTGTGAAGGAAGAATATTATCACGATAAGTGACTCTCACCACAAGACCTGAAGGTTCTATGTTCTATATTCGGTACGATAGTAAATGTGCATTGCTAAAAGGTTCCATACTAGAGCGAAACAGATGTTCTTAGCCTTCTAGTTTTCAGTTGTTATCTAACTAGGATCAATTTAAAATGCTAACTATGAAACCAAACAATTTCTACAAACCCCATACACTACATGTATAAAAACATATTTGAAGTAATCAATATAAAAATTATCATAATTCAGACTAAATACAGTTGATACGGTTCAATAGTTAGGATCACTTAGTTGTATAAATGTATGAAATAACGTAATCCAAACTTAAGAGAAGTTAACGGATGAGTATGCCTTCTTCATTGACATCAACGATAAGATATATCATCTAAGGCTCGTAGCTACTGATTATGATGCTGTGTGGTCCTTAACCAGGTAGTATATATCAACCAACACGACTCAGATCAATAAATGTTTGCCCCTTCTTGTTCTATTCAAACTTACTTCTATCCCAGTGATCATTATGTGTTGTAGTAGGTGGTGGTTGAATATACGAAACACATGTCCCATTCATCCTAATTCTGCGAAGATCTACTTCATCAGCCAATTTGCAAAATTTATATAATACGCTGCATCCAATTTTAGCACTGGTCATTTTTTTAATGTTTCTGATATATCTGTGGTACCCTAATTTCAGGAAATTACTTCCATAGTAGTTAAATAAAACAGAATTAAGTCCCGAATAGTGTACTCATTATTGATTAGGCCGATATGTGTCTGAATCCATGACAAGGTTTCATCATCTATTTACTTCCAAGGGAAACGAAGAAGTTAATGTACTCAACTAATTCATCTCCTATTTATCATACTTGGCTTTGGTGCTAATGTCTATAAAAGTCACTCAATGCGTTCAGAAATTCTCGTCTTATGAATTAGGTGTGTAAAGTGATACTAATTAAATCACAGGTTATCGATCAATTATCTAAAATATTTATAAGGAAGAATCATAACTAAAATATAAATAGTTGCTCACCTACTTGATAGTGTAATAAGAAGATGAAGATTATCAGAACTATGTGATATATTAGCGCAATACATTTCGAATAATCTGATCACACATATACTTGTTAAGAACATTTATGTATAAAAATGGAAGGTCAAATAGTCTAGAAATGGAGGGTTGGAGGAGATAATGATAATGAAGAAAATAATATGAAAACAATTTGAAACTTCATTATTCTGGATAATAAGCTAATATTACCAGGCTAGATTCACTTGGTGTTGCTTACTTGTATCTTCCCATTGTTATTTAGCACTGTAATTGATCAGTCTCTTTTTGGTATATGCGCATCCTGTGTCGACTGCCTTACCAGGGTAGGTTTAAGGTGAGGACAAATTGTTTTTGAGTAGTCTAAAGATCCCCATCATATTAAAAGTCTAATGTTTGAACGAAGAATATTCTTTTCGATAAATACTCTTCAAGTCCTATAATTATATATCCAAATTAATAACCAAAAAAATGGCCAGGTCAAGGGCATCGTTTGAAGTTAAAGCATGTGAATTTACGGTTGTCAAACAAAATGGAATAAAATTGTTAATGTTGATATGACTCATATGGAATGGTAACTTGAATCAGCTTATATGTTAAGTGAAAATCTAAGATCCATGATCAGAATAAATATGGGTCAGATAGGATGAGAGAAATAGTGCAATAACAATTCGGTCAAATGTTTAGTGGAAGACTGTATTGTATAAAAAATTTGTAAGACATAATAAGGTGGGATGAATGAGAAGTAGATGAATCATGTATTGGATAGATTAATGATGATGTTTAACCGAAATGATAATAATAATAACAATAAAGATTTATGAATAAGGATAACAGAGACAATTACATTTGATTACGAAACGTTGTAAGTATAACAGTCAAATTTGTTCATCCAATAGCTAAGACTACTATTGATTAATTGGCCTTGAGGATGGCTAGGAGAGGAGAAGTGGTTGAAGAAATTTCTTTTGTACGCATAGCTCCAGTTTCTTCATC